AAACTGCCTTCAAGAGTTGGAACATGAGTGATTTCCTACACAATCTTGCAAAAAATAGAATTATCAAGGGTTCCAAACCCTGTCACATGGGTTGGCGTCTCGTAGGAAAAATCATGAACAGGACACTGGCCAAAAGGCCGGCTCCCAGCGGCAGATTCGTGATCATTGCCTTCTCATTCGGCCCCGCGTTGGAGAAGAAACAGTCCTGCACGTTGGGGCTGCTAATGGAAACCACCAAGAACATAATCAAAGACCCAATTGCATGCACAAAGTCTATAGGAGTCAGATGGTACTTTTCTAGTTCTAACATATTCTTTGTATTTTTATTGATCAGGTGAAGTCCGTCGTTGAAAACGTAGAGGCCGTTGCTGGTGGCAATACCGTAGTAGAGCTTCCCGTCATCAGCATGAACGAAACTGTCAGTGAAGGAAGAGAGGAAACATGCTACAGAAAAAATGAAAATGAGTCCCAAGGTTAGGTACTTATGGGACGGCAAACACTCTCCATTGTTGGAGAAGGAAGGCAACAGAGCTTGGAACGTCAAGACGGTGCCAGTGGGCAACAGGTTGGCTAGGTTGGAAGCGGTTGTGACAGTCTTTGGCTTAAGATTGTTTCCTGTCACCATCACGGAGAAGAGAGGAAGAAATTAAATCTCAGTTGGAATTAGAGCTTTAATTGTTGCTTTGTGTTTTTGATCGATGGTGTTGAGCAGAGTTGAAAATTTATAAGGGAAGAGTATGATGGAAGAATAACATAAAGTGAAATTTATGAGAAAAAATACTTGTTTTAAATATATATTTTTTTCACAAATTTAAAATTTTATTAGAGAAAAATTTTAAACTTGATTTTTATAGTGACTTTTAAACAAGTTTTGAAAAAATGATACATCCAAACTTTTTCAAAATTTATTGAAAAGCTATTTTAAAAACTAATTTTAAAATTTTTCTTAACAAAATTTTAAATTTGTGAGAAAAAAACTTATTTCTCATTAAGTTGCTTTTCTAGATTTGCCAAACGCCCTCTATCTCATAGCACTTCCAAACACATTCTAAGATGCCTTTAAATTTTGATGTAGAAAGAACAAAAAGATAGCTTAAAATTTTATGAGAG